TAATCCCATGCTGCTTCTACATGCTGGCGAGCACACAGTTAAAATATATACCACTTCTAAGAAGAAAAACAAACAAAAAGCAAAGCACATGTGGTGGGGCTGTCAAGAGAGTCTCTGGAGTGGCAGATTCTACTGTAAATATGTTAACTGAAGCTGGAATACCTCAACTGCCTCTGAGAGAGACAAGAAAAACCACAGTAAGGAGGGAAAATTCCTAATATATGGGCAAAGAGCTAGACAACAGTCACTATCACTCAAAAGTGCATTTGTCTTTCAAATATAAACAATGAGACAGAATTTTTAAAATTCTGACATTTGTGAAGAAATCATGGGAGCTATTTTCCTATAGCTCCAAAATGTTTCCTCATTCTGAATACAGGTTTACCTTTATTTATTATTTTTTTTGTGATGAAGATCAGTCCTGTGCTAACATCTGCCAATCCTCCTCTTTTTTTTGCTGAGGAAGACTGGCGCTGGGCTAACATCTGTGCCCATCTTCCTCCACTTTATATGGGACGCTGCCACAGCATGGCTTGCAAGCGGTGCATTGGTGCGTGCCCAGGATCCAAACCGGCAAATCCCCCAGGCCGCTGCAGCGGAGCGCACACATTTAACCGCTTGTGCCGCTGGGCCGGCCCCCAGGTTTACTTTTAAAATAAAAGTAATAAAATAAAATAAAATCTGAAAATAAGTTTAGCTCTAATTCTGTCAGAAAATATTTTACTATATGTGTTTTACAGATATCAAAGGAATCAGAACCTTTTAAATGAACATTGTAGCAATAATGTTAACCCTTGCCTAAGATCTACTTTATAATGACGCAGCAGCAGCCATCATCTCGTGAGCTCCCATAAACCAGGCACTTTAATAGATGCTTTTTTTATGCAACAGCTCAGTTAATACTCCCAACTCTCTAAAATGGTAGCCCTCATTCTACAGAAGAGGAAACAGACTCAGGGAGGTTAAGCTAGGAGTTACCACAGTGAGAACTTTTTACTTCAAGGTTTATCTTTTCCCTTGCAAATAGTTTTTCACTGCAAGTCAGCTTTAATTAAATTATAAATGGTAAAACAACTACAGAAAATGAGAGGTGTGAGATCCCCTAACAAAGACAGGGAACGAAAATATAACAAAGTTCTATTACTTGCAGCAAGGTACACTACCCCCAAGAACCAGCCTAGAGGTCAACATAACCGCACGAATAGTCAGATCCTGATCAACATTTTACTCTCAGATTTCAAAGTCATTTCTGCAGATGTTCTGATGCTTTCACATCTAGGATGCCCTTCTGAAGTGAGCTACAACAAAACTACTAAGGCAGAACCACCTGGAAGCGTTAATATCTTTTGCAAAAGATTCTAATCTTTGCTGTGCAGTGCTGCCACCATGTGGAACAACTTGTGAAAAAGCGGAACAAATTACCCCTCAAAAGCAGTAAAACAGGACTCATATCCACCATCAGAGTAAGAGGATTGAGAGGATTTCCATCTTAAAACAGTTCTCAGATAATTAAAGGCCTTCACATGTTCAAAATTTTAACCACCTTGAGAAAATGAAACAGTTCTAAATGTGTGTGTGTGTATATACACATTTAAATACTATTGTATACATAATCCATCAAGGCAGTGAGTGATCAGTAACGGGTATTGGGATTCAGAACCAGGTTAGAATCCTGGCTACATTACCACCAACTGTATGACTCTGGGATAATTCTTCAGCCTGAGTGTACATTTCCTGATCTCTAACATGGAATAACCTCCACTTCACTGGGAAGATATGAGAACTAAGTAAAATATCGTAAGTAAAAGCATTTATCACTGTGCCAGGCATAAAATTCACTTAAACTTAAATTTCCCTTCTCCTAATGACACAAAGTCATCATAAGCCTTAGGAACGTCTCAGATGTTTGAGTTACTAAACCTTACATTCCACCACCAGCCCTCAGAAGTTACTTAACATTCATCCGTTTCCTATCGTCAGCATTTGACCCAACTGATGAAAAGAAAATCAGTGGTCTAATGACAGTTGTGATACTTTTTGGTAAAAAGCAGGTAAAAAAAGTAAGGTTGAGAAGAAAAGTACAGGTTCAAGATCAAAAGTAGGCGTGTGTGTATGTGTTGGCTATCTCTTAGTCCAAGCTTTTCAGTTCTTCACTAAAACAAGAATAAAGAGCTCAAGAAGTGATCTGAATGTGAGTATATAAAACAAGGCCAGGACGAGAGTAAGGCAAGAGAGGCAGCCCCCTCTCAGGCCTGTGTGGGTAGAGTCGGCCCCCTAGAGTGAAAACCTCCTTAAATTGTGTACCCTGGGTGACTTGCTAGCAATAAGTGAACAATATCAGGGGAAAGTTCTGGTACTCAGAAGCCTGACAAGAATCAGAAAGATTTTCTATTTAGAGGGCAGTAGGTCCAACAATTTAATATCTAATGCTGACACCTGCTCTAGGAAAATCTGCAATAAAGATACAGTAAAAAAGGCATTCCTGAAACAGTTTCTCAAAAATCTACCAAGTAACCTTAAATTTTCTCTACAAGTTTTCTCAAAATACTTATGAAAATCTCCCCAAATCACCTTTCTGATTTGTTGTAGTAAAAATAGGTTTAAGAATTATTAAGAGCATTATAGTTTACTATAATGTTATATTAAATTCAAATAGAGACCCATTCACGTGTTGCCCATTTAACTTACTTATATATAGGTACAGGGTAGGGGAAGAAAACAAGGAAAACAAAATTGGCATGTATTGATAATTACTGAAACTGGTGATGGTAAATGGGTCATTTTATTTATTTTATTCATTTAGTTGCTCTAATGTTGAATACGTATGAAAATTCCCATAATAAAAAGTATAAATAAACAAACGGCATACATATACTACCTGAGTACTATGCACTGGATGAAAACTATCCCTTTCTCTACAATGAAAACTTTCAATAAATTAGACAAATTAAGCTTGTTCCAGAATTGTTCCATTCTCTCAAGTGATCTAGATAAAGATCTCTAAGTGCTACTTAGGTACAAAAATAAATGCCTTTACTAATCCCTCAATTAGTTCCTATCCCTGACCATCTAATTTTATAGGTTCTGCCTTGAAGAATTTACATTAGCATAGAGATGCCTTTTTCTCCCCAAACTGGAATTGCCTATATGAGTTAGAACTCATTTTCACCTCGCTCCACGCCACATTCTTAGCCCCACTGAATATTTAACAAGTTTCCACAGGGCTCATGATATCCTGCTCATCTCGATGGATTGTAGAGCCCAAACACTTTTCATCTTCTCATCTGTCCTCAGGTAGAAAATTTCAAAGACAGTTACACAAAATAACAAAGTAAATCAAAAGCAATGCCCAAAACAAGTTGGTACCAGCTAAACATTCTATAAAATAGATACCACTGCTTTATAAATTTACTTCTTTATGGAATTAGAAAAAAAAGATGCCACGTGATGCCACTTGAGGGAAAAAAAGGCAGAGTTGAATCTTCTAATACTGGTGGTGGTACCCTGTGAGAAATCATGGTTTAAGAACACACCCACACCCACATGCACTTCTATGCATAGGAGGTGGCTGAAAGATTCCTGATGGTAGGTAGTACCACAGCACCTTAGAAAGAACGTGGCTTGTTTTATCCTTTGACCTTGATACTAAACTTGAAGGATAACCAACAGAAGCCAAGGCTACCCAAAGAATAAGATGAATCAAATGAAATGTCAAAGCAGAGATCTGAGCTGGTAATTTACAAATGAGAGACAATGTCTATTTCAAGACAAATTCCAACTCCCTATTTCAAAAAGTTCAACAAAAACAAATATTCAGAGGTTACTCATTGATTAACTCTTAACGTTATTCACCTCCAAGTAAATATTGCATTAGCCAAATAGGGGAGAGAAAGTGGCTATATCCCTCCATCTTCTCAGTAATGATACTTAGTGACCATTCACTCAATTCCAATGAGCTTCAGTTACTAGAGTCAATGTATCTCTTGGGCTTGCTCCCCTTCACTACATAGGCAAAAACTTTAAAATGAAAAGGTCTCCAAATATTTTAAGGTGTTAAGTTATGTTCCAGCTGCCAAAAATTTAGAACATAATGAAGTTTGCTAAAAAGAATCTTGCCCCAGAATCTCCTGTAGAAGAACGTATTACAATAATTAGGCAATAAAGATAACTTTGATTCAGTTTCTATTTCCACACCACCAGAAAATACCACAAACATCTCTCTGAAGAAATAATGTTAAAAAAACTGATAAAAATTTAAAGTAGGGCCGGCCTGGTGGCTCAAGCGGTTAAGTGCACGAGCTAAACTGCGGCAGCCCGGGGTTTGCCAGTTCGGATCCCGGGCGTGCACCAATGCACTGTTTGGCAAGCCATGCTGTGGCGGCGTCCCATATAAAGTAGAGGAAGATGGGCACAGATGTTAGCCCAGGGCCAGTCTTCCTCAGCAAAAAGAGGAGGATTG